AGGGAATCTAAAGAATATTGGTTAATTAAATCAGCGGAAATGCGGATTGGTAAAAAAGTTGGAAAAATTTTGAGTGATAATAAAGAAAAAACACCCGAAGAGTTCAAGGCAATTTTTTCTAAATCAAAATGCGATGAATTATTTAACGAAGAATGGTCGGAGGTAAAAAAGGATCAAGATGCTTTTTTACGAACCATGACAAAGGAAATGAAAAGTTTAGAACAACATGTAGTCAACTCGTTTAACGAAGCAATTATCAATGGACATGGAATAGTTAATAACGACAGAGGCGATGTAAAAGAAAAACAAAAGTTTGCCAAAAGATTTTGGAAAAAACTCTTGAAACCAGCAACTTTAATTAGATCGAACTTTTTAGATCAGTTCGTCGACGATGTCAAAGTAAAGATCAAATGGTATAATATGTATGATAATAGCAGCGAGGAGTTTAAGAAATCAGTCATAAACAGGATTAAAGCTAAAATTGAAGAAACCAGTACACAAATATGCAACGAGCTTCGATCCAGGAATGCACTTGCAATCGAATTTAATCAACCTCTAGACTGGCTGAGAAAATTATGCGACAATATTTACAATGTAATTACCGAATTCAGTAAATTCACTATTGAAATCAACGATTATAGTTTGATAGAGGTACGTAACTACGACACTACTGTACAGTATACAGTATTTACTATATTTATATTCCGCATTCTAACATTGCATATGATGATATTTATGTATTTTCTGCCTTCATCTTCAGCAATATTTGCGTCTTCAGGTTTTTGATACATTGGTATATAATACCGAGAGATGGAATCGTTCTCAACAAGATAATCTTGAAAAACTTCGTGAAGATTTACTGAAATGCTTTCATGATATTTTAAGTAATTCATCTTATGAAAATATTGCCACCCAACTTTTTAGATATGTTTCGCAATCTGTAGAGCTAACATTAGTTATTCAGCAACAACTTATTTGGGAAGTGTTGAAGGAATATTCAAAAAATCATTGGATGAGTGAAGATAGAAATTTCACCCGTTATGCTTATGAACGGAGTTTCGGCTCCTATAATGTTGAGAAATCCCGTAATTATATTAATGATCCTATATCATTTATGATTAGCTTATTTGAAGAAGAGATTGACGTGATTAAAAATGCAAGAATCGAAAGAAGATTAGAAGAAATTGAAAAGGCCATGTATGATGCTTTAAAAGAGCTTGGCGAGATCATATCCGATTGGCAACAACGGGTTCCAACGACCACACCATATGAAAATTTTTCTCTTGAAGAAATTTTTCAGAGGACAGAAATCAGAGATGACGCTGAACCCTCCTCATCGTTAGAGTCTTCCAAAATAATAAGCCCAGAGAATTTAATAGAAGATGCAATACGTATTCTTGGGAAATGCACCATCAGTTCTCCTCAAGATTTTTATGTTAAATTAAAAGAAGAATACAATAAATACGTAACGGAATTTCAAAACTTATGGAAAGAAAAACAGGCGGATATCTGTCGGAAATCAATGGTTATGGAAGTGGAAAACTTTAAGCTAATATATTCGAAGGAAATTATGGGATGTAGACATACGTGCCCGTTTTGCAGGCAAGTTTCATTATCACAAATGAATGCTTACGATTAGAATGGTCACTCATTAATATTTAAAATTTCTACTGTATAGCTCAAAATGTGAATTGCCGGAACATGAAATCAATACAAATCACAGAGCATCGTTTCATTTAATGAGTTGTTTTACGGGTGTTCAAGCTCGTGATACAAAGAATGCTAATTTGATAATATGTAACGAACCTGATAACTATCGATACCATTACATTAAACAGGATGACGAAAAACTTCTGTTTGAAGAATACACTAAAAAGTATTATCCCGAATGGTGGCAACTTCTGGAACGAAAAAAACCGGATGAAGATCAAATAATGCAAGTCAGAGCTATATGGATGCATTTAAAGACCGAATTATGCTCTAAATTCAATATGGTGGATTCGACACCTAAAAACTGGCACCGAGATTATTATCATCTCGCTGAGTCTGAATATTAATTTTGCCGTTCATGCTTGCTAGGCATCATATTCACACTAATATTTTTAAATAATACATCAAACCAAAAACACGTGCTTTTTTTATATGAATAAATTCACAATTCGATGCAAATATTAATAAATCCATGTTGTCATTATACAAAAGTGGTATTTGTATGGTGCCAGTAGTCTATATTCAACAATCACATGAAATGTTTCAATTTTTTTATATAAAGATCTTTTATTACATACTTTCTAATTAACCAATAGTATTGTAATAGATAATCAATCTTTTTTATTATTAATTTCTATTTCTATTCTTTCTGGCAAAATACAATGTGACTTGTATTTTTTAACGGCCCATTCAGCAGTTTTACCCTCTAATCCCTTTTCATAAACATCCATATATCTCCATGATTTATGTGCAAAATTACGAATAATTGTTATAGGAACATTAACAAATGCTTTTGGAATTTGTTCAAGTAAGTCTTTGTAATTA